CGTATTCTGGTATTGTGGTGCTTATGAGAGGGACTAGAGGAAGAGATTGAAAAAAGCAGAGAAATCGATACGAGAAAGAGCCATATTACCAGTGTGTCGTAGTCTGGTACATTTTGTCTTCTAGTATTTCGGATTTGGAATCAAAATCAACTATTGTTCACCTTTTTGCTTATGAAGACAATTGAGCTCATCGATGCATTTTTTGCCCGTGTGTAGTAGAGCTTGCTTCTTCAATGACCAATACTTGATTTTCTTTCTCTCAATTTTTTCCCATTCGATTTGTACCACAATTTTCTTTATTGTTTTAATCGTTATTGGGAAACCCAAATTCTTTGACAAGGATATAAACATGTAGTTGGTTCATTATTTGTTGATCATGTGATAAACAATTTGCAAGATGCAAATTAGTTGCTGGAAGGGTTACCATGTACCTTAAATATAAGACTGGCCTACTTTGGGCATCTTACAAATTACAATATTGGTGAGAGTTGGATTAATTTTTGCACTTCCAAAGAGGCACTATGTAATTTCATGATTATTACATGCCAATCTTCTATTCTAACAACTTAACAAAAACCCGTACACAGGACGGCTGAGGTGAAAATGTTTTAAATTTTGACTGAATGTTTCAAATGGTGTTAAGACATTTATTTAATTAAATTTTAGAAAATTGTTTTTAAATTAATTTAGTTTTATTAAAAAGATATTTTACTTAAAATTATACTTGTTGATTCGGTCTTTTAGACCAATTTTTGTCTTAATCTTTATATTTTTTTTCTTTTAAGAGTTGATTTTACAATATCCTCTTGATCAATTAACTTTATCATAAGAGATTTGAGAAATTATTTTTTTACGGTAAATATAATATTTCACAAAGATTTTGAAAGAGTTCTCTATGACATATCTTAATATAACCTTGCTCTCTTTGTGATTTTGGAGTCATTTACGATAAAAAAAAAATTGTTAATTTTGTCATCTCAATCTCTAATGGAAGGAACGTGATATATAATGAGAGATTTGTGCATTAAGTGAATAAATTCTTTAAGATTGTGGTTCATTATTAATTGTGAAGATGGACAACATCTACACAAGAAAAACCTAATTTTAATGTAAATGATATTTTCAAGAGTGATAAGTAAAAGAAGTTAATTAGAACTACTTTTTTATTAAATTATTGGATGAGTAAGACATTAAATGTTATGAAAGGGCTTTTAATATTGGAGTGGTTTTGTGAGAAAAAGCATGTAGAAACACACGTGATGTAAAAAGCAATTGCAAAGCGTGTAGTTATCAAAATGAATCTTTGAAGATGAGTGACATATATTATAATAATGTAGTATAATAACTAATTGTACACATGTTAAAATTGTATAATTCAATTGTTATTATAGGATTTCTACAAATAGAGATGCTTGTAGCCACTTTTCTTTGGCTGTAAATACACTAAATCCTTGTAACATTGACTACGTCACAAACACAAAAAGGCTTATGCATGTAAGTTATGATAGCTCGAAGGCTTGATCCCACTTGACTTCCTCCTATATTTACCTTCCTTGTTCTCAAACTAAAGACAAGATAAAGGTCTTGAATTCTCCATCCTCATGTAATCGTGATAAGGTGTTTGTGAATTTGTTTTCTAGATCCAACTTATACAAGACTTCAAAGTGGTAACCAAGTAGATTCGCAAACCAACATTGTTGGTTTGTTATAGTGACACACTATGCAACAAATGGTGCAAACTTTTTTGGTCTGAGTACACCAATAATTTTTCGCCAAGGAGATATTGGTGCTAATGTTTAACTAATAAAACCAAGGCTATTAATTAACTCTCTTCCATAGGCAGATTTAGAAAGAACAACGGGAGAAAAAAGCCTTACAAGAGGTTATTAATTTGTGTTTATAAGACATCAAATTCACAATCGTGTAACAGATACTTTTTATGGCAGTAAAAACAAACATTTGATGTCAGTTATAGACTCTTCATTGATCTTGGTGACATAAAAATTCTTAACAATTTATGTTGATTATAAAAATAGTCAACATAAAAAGACTTTTTTTAAGTTAAAAGCCAAAACTCATAGAAATTCTTAAATTTGAAATATGTTTCATATTGACATGTCCAAGTTTTTTTTTATTTTTATTTTTATTTATTTTTATTTATTTATGCCAAATCCATCTTTCATCTTCTCTAGAAACTAAACATGTTCACTAGTACAAAAGGGGTCTTTAACGTCAGATATTTTAAGGATTTTACGTCAAAAACGACTTCGACGTTAATGCGGGAGACGTAAATTTACGTCGGCTGTGACAGACGATGTAAATTTACGTCGGACATGTCCTATGACCGACGTAAAATAGGGTTTCAAATGTTAAAAAATGCACGCAAGAATTTACGTCGGACACACCATGTCCGACGTAAATTTACGTCGGCCAGTGCTAGGTCCGACGTAAATTTACATCGGCTATGGTGTAGTCCAACATAAATTCTTGCATTTTTTTTTAAATTTTTTTATTATTTTTTGATATATCCAAAACCTGCATACAGTCTAAAATACAAAACCTAACCCTAAACCAGGCAGTCCAGAATACAAATTCAAATTATATTTCAAAATTGAATGACAAAAAGAAAATAATATATAAATCTTAAAAGGCATAAATTATGACAATGTAAATCCTATTATCCTAAAAAAGCTATAAAACATATGTTTGTCAATGCTATCAAACTAGAAACATAATATCTAACTAACTAAACTTAGAAATCTAACTATTATATACTTTGAAGAAAAAAAGTTGCCCATTATTCTCTTATCTTGATGATCTCATCTTCGGGCAATGGAGATGGATCTTGAAAGACTTGAAACATTAATTTAAATGTCATTAATATGCAATGTTAATTATCGTAAAGGTAAATATACTTAAATAAATTTTGATATGAATTACCTGCACCCAAGAATCAGTAATACCCGCAAAAACTATGGCTCTCATCCAATACATGATGTAATAGCCACATTCAAACGAGTCTTGTTGCTTATTACACTAAAATGAGAAACAAATAACTATTATTTCCAAAGTTGATAAATTTAAATATTATTGCCTCTATTAATTAATTTGCTAACCTTAGGGTATATGAACTGCAATGTCTTTGATGTTGAGCTTAGGGGAGCCTGAACTTGATGAGATCGAGATTATCTCTGAAGCTTAAAAGAGTTTTGATGATCACA